CTCCGGCGTTCCCACGGCTGCTGCGCTGGTCCTGGCCTCAGCTGGGGCCTGGGGTGGTGGAGGAGGAGGCCGGCGGCGCTGGGCCCCTGAGGGCTGGCCTCCAGCTGGGTCCGGCGGTCAGAAAGGCCCACTAGCTGGGCTGCCCGGCCCGGCTCCTCCTGCAGAGCCACAGCCGCCCCACGTCCCCACATGGGGAACAAGCCCCGCCCCGCTCCTGCACGTTGGCCGGCCGGGTCCTGCAGGGAACCAGCAGAGGGCACGTGGCCGAGTCCTCCTCGGGGTCCGGGGAGACCGGGTCCCCGGGGCCTCGCAGGGCAAGCGGCAGCGAGCACACCTCGCAGGAAGACACGGCTATACTTACACTGCACCTGCAGGCCAGCGCATGGCTCCCTGAAGCCCATATTCAGAAATGCACACCCCGAAAGGAGGCGAGACGGGAAGCACTTCCCACACACGTGACGCCCGACCCCCTGGAGACACTGACCACAGGCAAAGCCCATCTTGCCAAGCCCCAAGGAACTTTCTAGAGATTCCTCCTTGGAAACACGGGACGAGGCGCTCTCAGTCTGGGCGGGCTCCACACCCCCGCCGGCAGCCAGGACCCCCTCCTCGGAGCGCCCACGGCCCTGTGAGGCCTGCCGGAGGGCAGAGCTGGTGCCAGAGTCTGCCCGGGTCGTGGCTTCAGAGGGGAGCCACCTCCTAGTCTGACACACGGCCAAACTGGGTCTCAGTGTTCGCCAGGTTTTTGAAGAAAACACCAGAACTCAATCTTCCAGTGCAAAACTTTGGAGTTTGCAGTGGGGGCCGCCAGTGGGATTCTGAGTGTCCCGAGACCCAGCCCGGCTGGAGGGAGGCTGCGCTCCTGCCCCCGCGCGGGAGAGAGCCGCACTGCGCTCCACTCCTGCGGGGCCATAATGAACGCCCCAAGGGTCGCCCCAGAAGCTGGTCTCCCACAGGTGCAGGACTGAGGGCCCCTCCCAGAGACGCAGGCAGGGCCACGCCCTCCTCCCTGCGCCCGCTGGCTCCTGGCGGCTGCCCAGCCGTCCTGGAGCATGCAGTTTGCCGTTGTGTAGCTCCACCCTCTGCCCCGCCACCCGCCATGTCTCTCCCTCCCCTCCGGGGCTCTGTCTGCACACAGACACCTGCCCCCCCCCCCGGCCCCCCGGGCCCACCCCACTCTTAGCTCATCACCTCGGCAACAGGCTCTGTCCAGGTGAGCTCACCTTCGGGGAAGGGGGTGGCAGGACGGCCCACTGCATCCATGAAAGAGCACCTGCCTCATCCAAGACACCCAAAACCCCGCCCGGCGCCGCTCAAAGTCTGAGCCCAGCCCGGCACCGAACACCCGTGCCACACGGCCCAACCCAGGCTGTGTTCCCCCAGCACCGACCCCTCCTCCTGTGGGCCTGAAGACCAGAAAAGCGGCTCACTGCTGGCTTGGGTCCCACCCAGAGAGCCAGGGCCCCGCCCCCCACGGCTCTGCAGTCCCCTGAGGGTTCGCACAGCTCTATGGTGGAGCCCCCACTTGTGGTCGCAGCGGACTGCCGGGGGTCGGGGGGGGACGTGCACCCAGGGAGCGGGGAAGCGCAGATACTGTGGGAAGCTAGCAGACTCGGCCACACGTTCAGCAGGAAGACCCAGGAACCCTGCCCCATGCCTGGCACTGCCGTCCCATCTGTCCCCGCCTGCTGGCCACACTCAGACCCAGGGGATGGGGGCAGGGAGAGGAGAGCCTGTGCCCCTCCCCGCACCGCAGCGCAGGTGGATCTGTTGGCTCCAGCCTCGGGGACTGGGGAGCTGCCTTCAGCGGAAGTGCCAGCAGGGCAGGCCTTGAGCAGCAGGTCCGTGCTCCTGGGAAGCGCGCTGCCCGCCGTGTGCATTCGCTAGACGACAGCCCCGGGGCTGAGTGCTTGGCCTAGCGGGGAGGAAGCTCACACCCCACAGCGGAGGCACCTGGGTTCAGGTCCCAGCTCCTGGCCCCGACCCAGCTTCCTGCCAGTGCCGACGCTGGGAGGCACAGTGGTGGCTCAAGTTTGGGTCCCTGCCACCCACTGGGAGACCTGCAGGGAGTTCCCAGCCCCCAGAGTGAGCCTGGCCCTGCCCTGTGCTGCAGGCAACTGGAGAGTGAACCTGCGGAGGGCAGCGTGCGCTCATTCTCTCTCTCTCTCTTTCCCTCCCTCCCTCTCTCCTCCCTCTCTCTCTCTCCCTCCCCCCCAATAATGAAAAAAAGTTAATTCTAGGGGCCTGCATTGTGGTGTAGCAGGTAAAGCCACTGCCTACGCTGCTGGCATCCCATATGGGCACCGATTCGAGACCTGCCTACTCCACTTCCGGTCCAGCTCCCTGCTAATGCTCGTGGGAAGGCAGCAGCAGATGGTGATGGCCCAAGTCCCCGGGCCCCTGCACCTACGTCGGATGCCTGGAAGAAGCTCCTGGCTGCTGACCCTGGCCTGGCCCAGCCCTGGTTGCTGTGGCCATTTGGAGAGTGAACCAGCGGATGGATCTCTGTCTCTCATCTCTCTCTGTAGCTCTGCCTTTCAAATAAATAAGAAATAAAGTCTTAAATCAAATAAATTCTAAGCATCTTTAAAAGAGTATTGCTCCAACTTCTTTTATTTATTTATTTATTTATTTGACAGGTAGAGTTAGAGACAGAGAGAGAGACAGAGAGAAAGGTCTTCCTTCCGTTGGTTCACCCCCAAAATGGCCGCTATAGCTGGTACTGTGCCAGTCTGAAGCCAGGAGCCAGGTGCTTCCTCCTGGTCTCCCATGGGGTGCAGGGCCCAAGCACTTGGGCCATCCTCCACTGCCCTCCCGGGCCACAGCAGAGAGTTGGCCTAGAAGAGGAGCTACCGGGACAGAACCCGGTCTCCAAATTCTAGCCACTGAAGGTTTTAAAGGTACCTGAATCATGAGCCCTTCTCACACGGAAAGAATGTTGGGCTGTTCGGAGGGTGCTGAGACAGCTGGAGACAGAGCTGACCGTGAAACTGCTGCCCCGGCACTCGGCACCCACCGAAATGCCCGCAGCCTCCAGACCCTCTGTGGAGGCAGGCGCCTAAAGCTGCCCGAATGTTTGCGTATTTAAAGGATTCCTTGTTAAGGAAAACCTTTCCTCTCCTCTCTCTGAGCCGGTCACTTCAGCATGTGTTAAGCCAGCAATAGGAACGTGGGCCCGCCACACCGGCTGCGGCGCTGACCCGTGACCATCCCTGCCACACCCCAGCCACGTCCACCACTCAGGCCTTGGCTCCCACCATCGGGGACTCTGAGGGCTTTAACAAGGCCACACGGGTTCCACGGGGTCAACGTGGTCGGGACCACAGCCTTACACGAAGCAAGGAGGTGCCGGGAGGGCCCTTGCCAAGGAAAAGCCACCTAAGGCCACGGCCACGGCGGGGGGGGGCCTGGGCCACTGCCCGCCAAGGGGGGGCCTGGGCCACTGCCCGCCAGCCTCAGCACGTGGCTGCTGAATGAGTGGCCAAAGCCGTGGCAGCCATGGCCGCCTGTGCCTCTGGGTCCACAGTGGCTGTCCAGACTCCCGTCCCTCGGCCGGCTCCACACAGTCACTCAGGGACCCAGGCTGCCACCAGGCACGGAGCCTGTACCTACGTCCCTCCGTCTGCCCAGGAGATGAGGGATGCGAGAGCCCAAAGGCAGGGACTCAGGCTGCGGGAGCTGGAGACATCGCTGAAGTGGCCGCACAGGGGCCAAGGTGGTGGCTGGTGACCAGGGCCAGCCCCGCGCAGTCGCCTCAGCCACCACTCAGCCATGACCGAGGGAGGTGGTGCCGCAGCTACGGCGCTCAGCTCCGAGCCCAGGACTTGCCAGAGCGTTCTAAATCAGACCCGCAGGAGTTCCCACCAAGACCAGAGGCCAGCACTGTCACCACTGTGGCCTGGCGTCGGAGAATTCGTGCGTGAGCCCCTTCCTGCCATGCGTGACCCCTGCCTGCCCAGCCCGGGAGCCGAGACCACGTGCTTCTCCCGGAAAGGAACATGGGCACAAGGTCATTTGCTGTTGTCCTTACAGAAACACGCGTGAGAAAATGTGTCCTGTGGAAACTCAGCTCCCTCTGAACGCACGATGGAGCTCAGAACCGAGTCCCCTAAGCCGCTCGCTGCTCCAAGCACCCTCCTGGACGAAGGGGAAGGAGAATTCAGCCTGGAGTGGCGGGGCCGTGGGGGCAGCCGAGCACCCGCCAGAGGAGCAGGCGCCCCCACCGGGCTGGGATCCTCTGGCGCTACCAGCAGAGACGGAGTTGCCCAAGTGTTTTGATTCGTCGGCTTTGACCGGCCATCCCCAGCCTCACAGACGGCGGTGGTTAGGTAACGAGGCCCCGCATCTCCGTAGAGCAGCCGTGGTGCCCTTAACCCACTGCCGCCGGTTAAGCTTTCGCAGATTGGAAGCCTTTTAGTAACAGCTCTGAAAGTTCTCTCAGTGTGATGTGGTCACAGGAACCATGGGACCGGAGTACAAGGGCCTCCGTGGCGGGAGCCTGGCTGTGGGTGTGGGCGATGCCCCCAGGACTCAGCGGCACGTTGCTGTCCCACCTGGGTCCAGCCCGGCTTGTCCAGGGGCAGTATGACCCTTTGTGATGCCGGGCAGGGGCACAACCGGGTCTCCACGGCGCACGGCTGGGCAGCTCCACACCAGGGGACCAAGGGGCGCGAGAACAGGACAGGAGCTCACGACAGAAACCCCAGCGTCTCTGCTTGCCCGTGAGACAAGAGCCACCCCCACCCCTGCTGCCGGCCTTCTCTCTCCTGGGGACCTCCCGGAACACTCAGGGGACAGGGGAAGGCACCAGCTGGCTTTGCAGGGAGGGGCTCACGGACAACCCTCCCCCCAGCCCCCGTTTGCCTGGGTCCAAGCTTAACGAGTGTGCCTCTGTATCTTCCCCACAGCACCCGACTTGGGGACAGCCGCTGCCCCTCCCCCAGTGCCTCTGATCCTCTCACAGTCCTCCGCCCCCCCCCTTGCTGCTTCCCTGCCTGGCACTCGCAACCACGTCCTCCTCTCCGCCTCGTTTGCAGGTCGCCAGAGCCCAAGCCCGAGTCCTGCACAGCCTCAGGTTCCTCAACGTCACGCAGCGAGCACCCTCTGCCGGTCCCCAGTCTGCGGTCACCCACGCGTTCTGTCCACTGTCTCCTCCCAACGCCAGAGGCCACCGGGCTCCATCCGGGGCACTGCAGGAAGAGCAGGATGAGGCTCCGCTGGGCGCGGCTCCGCAGTGCCGGCACACACGCATGCACACACATGCACGCTCACACACCAAGAACCCACGCCCACGTAGCTCCAGCTAGAGTCCCAGGGAAGCGAGGCAAGAGGCCTGTACGGGCACAGCTCAGGGATGCTGACACACGACACATGCGTGCTCACATACATGCACACGCATGCGCGCCAAAAAACGAAGCCAGCGTCGCTCCATCTAGAGTAACACACAGAAAGCAGAGTAAGGCACTGCTCCTGTGGTACTTACACATACCTGTGCACACGCACACACGCCGAAAACCGGAGCCAGCCATTTCTTTCTTTTGATCCAGCCTCAGACACCTTCAAGAGTCACCTGAGAAACCATGGAAGCCTTTCAGGACAAAGTGTCCAGAGCTTCAGCCAGAATGGCGGCCCCAAAACCCCTCCTCACAAAGCAGCCAACTTACGTGAGCGCGCCATGGAACAGGCCCCCCTCCCAGCCCAAAAGAAGTCTACTTTTTTAAAATTTATTTTATCATTTTATTATTTTTTAACAGGCAGAGTTAGTGAGAGAGAGAGAGAGATAGACAGAGAGAAAGGTCTTCCTTCCATTGGTTCACCCCCCAAGTGGCTACTACGGCTGGCACGCTGTGCTGATCTAAAGCCAGGAGCCAGGTACTTCTCCTGGTCTCCCATGGGGTGCAGGGCCCAAGCACTTGGGCCATCCTCCACTGCCCTCCCGGGCCACAGCAGAGAGCCGGCCTGGAAGAGGGGCAGCCGGGACAGAATAGGCGCCCCGACCGGGACTAGAACCCGGTGTGCCGGCACCACAGGCAGAGGATTAGCCTAGTGAGCCATGGCGCCGGCTAGAAGTCTACTTTTAATAAAAGGTGTTCGCGACTCCCACAGGGGACACTCATCATGGCAGAGAGAGGAGAACAGACATGAGATTCCACTGTCACTCTCGGCTCAGAGCTACACGGTCCGGGACTGAAACTGTAGCACCAGCGTAGAAGTGGCCAGGACACGAGAGCAGCCCACCGTCACGGCCACGGGGCCATGAGAGCAGCCCACCGTCACGGCCAGGCGCAGCTGCAACAGCCGAGAAGTGAGCCATGGCCTCGGAACACGTCGGGTGAGCCTCCCCCCACATCCCCCCCATGAATACGCACCGGTGCGCTGACGCTCACGGTTTCCACGTCGGCCAAAGGCGCACACATGTGTAAAAGAAAAAGGTTATAAAATAAAGACAAGGAGATGGCACTGTGGGGCAGTGGGTTAAGCCACCACCTGCTGGGCCGGCATTCCATGAGGGCCCTAGGAGCCCACGCTCCCAGTACCCAGAGGGGTGCGGTGACCCCAGGCCAGGAGCTACAAGGCAGCCTCACCCAACCCTGTGTGCACAGGACGCTGTGTGAGGTCATGAGAGCTCATGGAGAATCCGGCTGGAGTGTGAACTGCGGTTGCCGTCGAAGCCGGCTTCCCCAGAATGTCTGAGCTGACACCTGAAGGCCGAGTGACTCCCCAGGGAGACAGGTGAGAGGGAGCGGGCGGAGGGCAGCTCTGGACCAAAGAGAAGGCATGGTGAGGCTGGGCCAGCAGCCGGGCTGCACAGGCCTTGCGTGGCTGGGGCATTGAAAACCTGTGCTGTGGCTCCAAGAACAGTGGAAAACCAGGGAGGAGCTGCAGGCCTGGGGAGAGAGGAGGAGCCGGTAGACAGGACCGCCAGGAGGGGCTCCCTCTTAAACCACCCCCACCGCGCAGCCATCGTGCAGAGCACGGGCTTAGGAGTCCAGGGTCGGCTGTGGGCGGCCAGCGTGAAGGCTCGCATCCAGGCACTGCCACGACACCAGCACGGGGAGGGAGAAAAGCAGAGGGGCGGAGTGGAGTGGAGTGGAGTGGAGTGGAGTGGAGTGGGGACGGCAGAGTGGGGTGGGGGACCCAGGCAGTGCCTGCAGAAACACGAGGGGACAGGAGGCAGACGCAGTGTGGCCTGCAGACCGGGGAGCCGCAGGAGACATGGCGGATGGAGGACGCCAGCTTCTGCTGGGGACCTCGGCGCTGAACTCCCGCGCGTGCCGGCAGCCACTCTCGAAACGCAGGCCCTTGTTGGCAAGTTCCAGGCCCCCGCTGGGCTACAGGACAGCTCCTGCTCTCCCAGGAGGTCCGTGCGACAGCGTCGTGAGTCTGGCCGGGCCCTCTCATCTTGACAGGAGGAGAGAGAACAGGCCTCAGCTCCCCCACAGGGCCAGGGCCGGACAGGAGCAGGGCGGGTTGTCGAAAGTCTCCCCAAGTCTCTCCCCCCACCCCTGCCCCAGGTTCACAGCTGAGCCTTGGAGGTCTCCCCAATTCTCTCCCTCCCCCACCCCTACCCCAGGACCCAGAGCTGAGCCTTGGAGGTCTCCCCAAGTCTCTCCCCCCACCCCTGCCCCAGGACCCACAGCTGAGCCTTGGAGGTCTCCCAGAGTCTCTCCTCCCACCCCTGCCCCAGGTTCACAGCTGAGCCTTGGAGGTCTCCCCAAGTCTCTCCCCCCACCCCTGCCCCAGGACCCACAGCTGAGCCTTGGAGATCTCCCCAAGTTTCTCCCCCCTCCACCCCTGCCCCTGGACCCACAGCTGAGCCTTGGAGATCTCCCCAAGTCTCTCCCCCCCATACCTGCCCCAGGACCCACAGCTGAGCCTTGGAGGTCTCCCCAAGTCTCTCCCCCCACCCCTGCCCCAGGACCCACAGCTGAGCCTTTAAGGTCTCCCAGAGTCTCTCCCCCCTCCACCCTGGTCCCTGGACCCACAGCTGAGCCTTGGAGGTCTCCCAGAGTCTCTCTCCCCTCCACCCCTGCCCCTGGACCCACAGCTGAGCCTTGGAGGTCTCCCAGAGTCTCTCCCCCCCCTCCACCCCAGCCCCTGGACCCACAGCTGAGCCTTGGAGGTCTCCCAGAGTCTCTCCCCCCACCCCTGCCCCAGGACCCAGAGCTGAGCCTTGGCACAGCCTGCCCCTGCCCAGGCTCCTCCACCTGTGCTCACAGCCAGAATTCACTTGTTCTGCACCCAAAAGGCAAGCACCCCGTTTGGGGAAAGCGTGTTCGACAGACACTGCGTGACAGATCGGAGTGACAAGACCTGGTGGAGGCGTAGGCAATGACGCTGGACCGTGCACTTCTGAAACAACTACAAGGTTGGAGCAGGCAGCCCTGCTCACCCGAGTGGACATTACAGTGTCTGCGTGCGTCGGAACGGCACAGGGCACCCACAAACTCGCACAGAGCCTGTGTCGGTTACCAACTCTTTAAAATATTTAAAAAGCCGTCCCACAGAGTCAGCCGTGCTGCAGCTCCAGGCCAAGGCCGGCGGCGTCTTCCTTTCCCTCTTGGGTGTGCGGCCCCTTTGTACTTGAACGCCCATGGACTTTGTACTTGAACGCCCATGGACTTTCTCGAGGTGCCCTTAACCAGCTCTGGCGAGCTCCCGGGGATAATTAATGGGCTGCCCACACCAAGAGCTGTCCTTTCTTGCGCGCTGAAATAGCAGACAATAAACAAGACTTCTGAGAAGGTGCAGGGGAAAGAGGCCTGGAACAGGGATCAGAATTTTGCCCACAAAGACCCACACTGGGCGCTCAGGAGGTGCCGCCAGAGAGGGGGAGGCAGGAAATCCACAGGAAGCAGAGTGCCGCGTGAACACCTGCCTTCTTCCTCTACAGTGGACGCCTTGGGCCAAGGAGCTGGAATTAATGAGGCCCAGAGCAGCGTCCAAGGTGAAAGCCACGGCAGCGCCCCCTGCGGACAGCCGTGGAGGACCGCGGCGAGCTCCTCACCTCACTGGGCCCCTCTGTGGGGGCTCTGCTCACCTGACCGCCGTCCCTGGGCATTAGACAGGCTTGGCCTGCAGAGCTGCACGGCCGCCGGCAGCCCCAAGCTGTGGGCTTTGCCGACGCCAGGTGCCCCCGGCCCACGTGCCCGTTTCTTCCCCCAGTCGGAGGGCTGGAAGGGGGCCCTATGTGCCTTTCCCCGGGCCACCAGGATGAATTTCTGCAGACCGAGCACCAGCCGAAATCCATTCTCACAGGTCTGGAGCTCGGAAGTCTGAAGTCAGGGCCCGGTGCTGTGGCACAGCTGGTAAAGCCGCCACCTGCAGTGCCAGCGACCTATATGGGTGCCAGTTCAAGTCCCGGCTCCTCCACTTCTGATCCAGCCCCTGCTGATGGCCTGGGAAAGGCAGCGAGAGACGGCCTGAGTGCCTGAGCCCCCGACACTCACGTGGGAGACCAGGATGAAGCTCCTGGATCCTGGCTTTGGCCTGGCCCAGGACTGGCCATTGCAGCCATTTGGGGAGTGAACCAGCAGATGGAAGACGCCTCTCTCTCTCTCTCTCTCTCTCTCTCTCTCTCTCCCCCCACCCTTTCTCTCCATGACTCTGACTTTCAAACTAAGTGAGTAACCTTGAAGTCAAGGAGTCCGCAGGCCGCTGCTCCCTCGAAGGCTCTCAGCAGGACTTCTCCCAGGGCCGGCTGCGCCCAGGTTCCCCAGGTGTCTTGTGGCTCATGGACCCCACACCTGGCTTCTCCTCTCTGCTTCCAGGTCTCCACCTGGGTGTCTCCTGAGGGCTGCAGTCACTCTGCTGAGGACCCACTCAAATCCACAGCGACCTCATAACTCAATTCGTTTAATTAAGGTGCCTGTTTCCAGGTCACGCTCACAGGTACTGGGGGGTAGGGTTTCAATGTGTCACTTTGAGAAAAACCCAAATTAACTCACAGTGGGGTTTTACCTGCCCGCGTACCCCATACCCAGCACCTGCCAAGTCCCTGTAGGCTCTCGTTGTCGCCTGCCACGGAGCTGAACTGAGCGAAATGGACCCAATCAGCATGGGGCACCCTGAGCCCCCCTGTGTGCCCAGCCGCCCTCCCCCGACTCTGCGGCACAGCAGTCCCAACGCTTTGCTCCCGTGCACACACTTGGCTCCCTGCCTTTCAGACCCAAGTCGCCTGTTTGCCAAGGCGGCTTTTCTCCCAGAAACCACTTTTCTGGTAGCGAAGGCGGTGGCTGCTGCACCACTAAAGATTCCTTTGCCCCGGACCGCAGCGAATTGCTGGGACTTAAGAACTTGAGGCTTTTCTGAAATGTCCTCATCTTCTTACATTAGGGTGCACTTTGGATCCGATATTCAGCTAAAATCTATTTCTATGCAAACAGAAAACCAGAGCAGAAAACAGCGGATTGAGCTACCATCTGCAGCGCAGGCATCCTGTAAGGGCACTGGTTCACGCTCAGGCTGCTCCACCTCCAATCCAGCTCCCTGGAAAACAGCAGAGGATGCCCCGTACTTGGGCCCCTGCACCCATGTAGGAGACCTGGGTGAAGCTCCTGGACCCTGATTCCGCTGGTCCAGCCCTGGCCGTTGATAAGGACATGGAATCTGCTATCCCTGGCACGGGTTCAAATCCCACCGCCAGCTCCTGCTCGCTCTGACCATGGCTTTGCACCTGCCTCTGTGCTCAAACAGCCCCACGTGCCAAGTGGGTACTGATGGTGTGTCCCTCGATGGCGTGTTGTGGGGATTGACTGAACTAATATAATGAAGGTTTAGAATAGAGCCAGGAACAGGACAAGCACTATGCAAGGTTAGCCAACACCATCACCATCATCATCACCATCATTGCAATCTCCACCATCACCACTAACATCATCACCATCATCACCTTCATCACCACCATCACCATTATTACCACCATCACCACCATCACCATCATCACCTTCATCACCACCATCACCATTATCACCACCATCACCATCATCACCTTCATCACCACCATCACCATCATCATCACCATCATTGCAATCTCCACCATCACCATCACCATCACCACTAGCATCATCACCATCATCATCTTCATCACCATCATCACCACCATCACCACCATCACCATCATCACCTTCAACACCACCATCATCTTCACCATCACCACGATCTCCACCATCACCATCACCATCACCACTAACATCATCACCATCACCTTCATCACCACCATCATCATCTTCATCACCATCATCCCCTTCAACACCACCATCACCATCACCACTAACATCATCACCTTCATTACCACCATCATCATCTTCATCACCACCATCATTCTCACCACCATCACCATCATCACCATCATCATCTTCACCATCACCACTAACATCATCACCACCATCACCTTCAACACCACCATCACCACCATCACCATCACCACCATCACCACCATCATCACCTTCATCACCACCATCACCATCATCACCACCATCGTCACCACCATCACCATCACCACCATCGTCACCACCATCACCATCATCACCACTGTCACCACCATCACCATCATCACCATCATCACCTTCATCACCACCATCACCATTATCACCACCATCACCATCATCACCTTCATCACCACCATCACCATCATCACCACCACCATCGTCACCATCAACACCAGCATCCACGCAGACTTGCCCTGTGCTACACAGACACGAGCCCCTGCGCCCCTGACTGTGCCCCCTCCCCAGGATCCTGTCTCAGGAGTTGACGCCGCCCTGCACAAGCCCATGGCGCATCTCCCTCGCCCTCCCTTCTGCACCCAGAACGCCCATGGGTCACACCAACCCCACCCTCAGAGTAGAGCAGCACCACCACCCGCCCACCTCACCCGAGCCCCCTGGTCCCGGTCTCCACTGCCTCGACCCTGGTGCCTGCAGCAGCCCCCCCAGAGCCTCTGCCTCCACTCGTGGCCCCACTCAGACCCCCACCCCGGCAGCCCCTCTCCCTCGAACCCACCCAGGCGAAGTCGGGGCCTCCCCACGCCGGCTCTTTCCCC